ATTATGTTTAATGCTGCTCAGGACCAAAGAATCAAGAAATAAACAAGAAAGGGAAAACACTATTGCTCCTTTTTTTCCTCCCATTTCTTTTTCCATTCATTACAGAAAGAAGTAATTTCCACCAATTCACAATTATAATACTTGAGAGAGACAAGATTAAATTCAGATGGAAAGACCATCCGTTGGCTTTTCATTCAAAATCCACATCTTTAATTTCTTTATTTCTCCCTTTGAAATACAGTTCCTGCTTAGAAGGATGTTTCCTTGAAAAAGAAATGGGCAGATAAATGGGCCAAGCGGCAGCCCTCACCCTTGCCCTCACTTTCCCTCCCAACCCACAGCTGCCAACTGCTTCACAAACAAATCCTCCCTGAACAGTCCATCTAGCATTCCTCATTCTCAGATGCTATCAATTAGTTCAGATAACAGCTTGGAAAATGAAAGTAGTGCTTACTTTGGATCAATTTCCCCTATTTAAGAAGCCTGCGAAGGCAACACCTACAGCTTCATTTTCCCTCAGGCCTAAAATACACCACATTGTGTTTCCCACTCATGCTAACCAAGCTGATTCACTGCCCTAAATACACTGACACATTTTGCATCTGCAAAACAAATGAGCCCACATGGGCTCAGTGTTCATCAACAAAGTTCCAATCCCAGGGTCAACATTGGCCATGAAGAAGCTTGGCTGTCCCGAACCTGCTGAAATCCCATGGCCTGCTTTTCACCAAGCCCTGGAGCTGAACTTGGGCTAGCTCCTTTCCCTTCTCCAACCTGCTCCAAGAGATATGGCAGCACAAAACACAGGAGAGGAAGCAGCACTGTGGTTTGATTGCCTTTTATTTGAAATGCTACATTGATCCCATGATCTCCTTCCACTGCAACAAAGGCTCACTCTTGGAAAAACACTTGTGAGATGGGCTGGGAAGGAACAGGCTGGATTTCTTTACCATTTTAGTCCTGCAAAATGGATGTACCCCAACAGCAATGCCCTTCTTGCAATGACTCCCTTGGGATTTGATCCAGGGATCATTAGTGAGATCCAAGAGGCTACTTATCATATGTGATTTCAAGAATTTATTTTTCTGAATTGCCTCTATAAAGCCTTTTTCTTTAGTGCCACAGTCTTCCTCAAATAAATGGCCTAAAAATGATAACTGCTTCTGATTTCACAACAGTACAGTTTCCATACTCACATCAATGCACTTTTATATGCATAGATGTCAATTTAATTCTAGAGTGCTTAAGGAATGAACTGCAGTGCTATGATAGTCCTGATCCTGGTTTTGAGGCTCTAAAGCAGTCAGAAAATAAAAAAACCCAAACCCTCAGAAAGTGCCAGATCTGCATCCTCAGTAGAACAGGTGAGCTGTGAGGAGGGGATGTAGACCTCATGCCTTGCACATCTGCATGTATACATCAGGTTGCTTGTGAGTGCAAAATTCTGCCTGTATAACTTTCTATGCATCCTAACTATGGAACAGACCTTTGGGAAGGCAGCTTAGTGAAACCCAAAAAATCCAAGTATACTCTGAGTGCAGTTTCTGTCTCACCAAGTTTCATCCTGCAGCCCAGCCTGAGTGATGATGAGCCTCACTAAGGCAAACGCTTTTCCCACCTACTACTTGCTCATAGAAAAGTGCTTCAGATGACAAGATGGGAACAAGATGTACCTGCTGGGAGAGGCACAGGATCAACTTAATGACAAGAGTGCCTTTTCTTGGGAGCCATACAATCCCCTGGCCACTGCCCCTGTGTCCCCCAACCCAGTCATAGCGCCAGCCTGCAGAATTGTATCTGTGAACACTTGCTTGTCAGAGGGCTCTAGAGGATTTTGTTCTTTCCTGGAAGCATGCTAAAGGCTGCTCTCCCTTCTGAACAGCCAGTACTGTGTCCCAGCAGCTGAACCTCACCTACTTAATGCCCAAACTTAGTGGGCAGCAGTACCAAGGTGTGCATGGGCATGCAGATATACAGAATTAAGGCTTTCATACATGTTACAAACACACATGAGGGGGTCTTAATGTTTATAAAGCACTTCAAATTCCCAAGGTAGTTCACAGGTTATATATGCAAAGCACATTGTTAGTCAGGTCAGGCTTCAGGAAAACATTTCCTTTTGACACAGGTGCTTAATTGTGCTCATAGAAGACCTGTTGAAAATAATGCGATTTTAGTGCAAGTCCAAAAATAATCGTAAGTGGGTTTTTTTTAGAAGGACAGAATAGAACATTTACTTAAGTGCTTTCCTAAGTTCAGGCTTCAGTGATGTGTAACCTGGCTTTGCTCTCATCATCACTTAACTGCTCAGAGCTGCAGAACACCTGAGGACAGGGATGGAACAACATCTTCCCTAAGTGAACTTGCAGGTAGAACTGGAAAAGCAAAAGCAGAAAGACTCCTGAATCAGATCTGCTAGGATGCTTCTACTAAAAGGCATATCACTTATTGGTGGTATGCCAAAACCACTCGCCCAGCCTGGCACCCTGCCTCTTCCCAGTGGCCACCTGTGGACCCTGAAGGACCAAATCTAATTATGGGATATTTAGAAAAAGTGTGTGCACAGTGCGAGACCTCTACAAAGCTCTTCATTAACTCTCAGAAATACGTGCAGGGTCCGAATTACCAAATCTGTGATGCCTTTTTGAGCACACCTCCCTTTAATGATTTTTCTAGGCAAAGGACCCAGCTCAGTGTCAGCTGGGAGTTTCCCTTCTTGCCTCACTTTTCCACAGACTTTGCTTGTTCTGCTGTGCTGTGGGTGATTCTGCTACAGCAACAGCTAATTGGTCAATCTATCCATTGAGATCAACTTAATTCAGTTCATGAAATAAAATGAAGACTTTGTGACAGTTCCTCTGCAACCCAAACAATTTGGCCAGGAGTTCTCTGCCTGTGTGCTGTGCTACAGTGTGTATATGTGAAAGGATCACTGACAACTTGGACATTGTGTCTGTCCTGTGACATGTAGCACCCAGGCTCCAGTGGAAGAAATTGTACCAGTGTGTGGACTTTCTGTAAGGAGCCTTTACTGTATATAACCAACCTCATTCCTTCCTCTGCAGTAGTTTGAAATGAATTTCATTCCTGGGTCAAAATTTGATATAAGCACCATTTAAATCCCATTTCAGCATTATTTACAGAGCTTAAATGGAACTGATGCAGTACCTAGTGCAAACTTTCATGCGTAGGGGTCAATTTCAACATTGATGTGTCAGGTCTTTCCCATAGCAGCAAGAAATAGAGAAGACATAAAAGAATAAGGAAAACAAGATTACAGAACCACAAATATTGTCAAGACTGACCTAGTGTACCCTCTGGAACAGTCTGTAATTTTCTTTTTAAACCAAAATTTCCAGCTGCCTCTATCTCTTTAATTGAAAAAAGATTTTCATTTCAATGGCTTTTAAAGATGTAACTGCACCTTTATGGGTAATTTTCATAGAACCACAGAATGGCTTGGGTTGGAAGGGACCTTAAAGATCATCTAGTTCCAAACCCTCTGCCATGGCCAGAGACATCTTTCCCTAGACCAGGTTTCCCTAGACCCAGTTTGGATGGACCAGAGCTCCATCCAAACTGGCCTTGAACACTTTCAGGGATGGGGCATCTACAGCTTCTCTGGGCAATCTCTTCCAGTGCCTCATCATCCTCACAGTAATAATTTATTTATAATCTCTAATCAAAATCTGCCCTCTGTCAGTTTAAAACCTTTACTTCAAGATTGCCCTGCAATTTAGGGACACAAAACATAAACTAAAACTAAACTAAATGTTTAATTAGTTCTAAATGGACAAAAGAGCATGGAGAGTATTATTTCCTTCTTTCTATACTAAAAAAGCAAGTCAGCCAAAATTTTAGGGGTAGTTCTGAACACATTTGTTCCTGAATAAAATCTGAGAAATTTTGTCTGGAAGCTGGTTTTCACATTTGACAAATCAGCAAGGAGATTAAATGCAATGAGCTCTAACAGTTGCATTTTGAGATCCCACCATGACACTGCCAAGTCAAAATGTTTGACCTCTGCATGAAATTTCATGCAGAGTTGTTGATTCTGTGTTCAACATTCACATGTTGATTCTGTGGACTGACTCAGGAGATGATTCAAACCATCTGATTCTCAACAGAAACTATGTACTCTTGTGTAACAGTAAGCTTCTTCACAGCTGAGTATTTTGACTGAAAAACCAAATCATACACTGAACAATTAACAATGAGCTCTTACCTGGAAAGCAGAGCTCAGGATGAAATAAGTTATTATGTCAGGTCATTATTATTTAGGTGTTTTGATTTATGTTAGTTCTTTTATTTTCAAATTCCCTTCCCATTATATTTTGGTATATGTATCTGTATACAAATTGCAAATATTCCATTATGCTTCTGACAACATTGACAGGGACTCTGGAGGGCAACAAACCACCTGAACTCTTTTAAGATAACAAGCAGACAAAAACTGCTGTCAAAAAGTAAGAAATGAAACCCACTGAGGGAAAAGACCCAAAGCAAACCAGGAATTAAACACTTCAAACAACTGCCTTTTGCTCCCTTACCAATTTGTGACACTGACAGCAGAATCTCCAGACCCTTTGTAAGAATACTGTCACCTGCTTAATGCAGAACTGTTAATAGGCAGCCTCGGGAAACCTCTCAGATGCTCCTTTAGCCCACTGATCTGCTTTTGGTCTGTAATATTAAGGAAAGAAATGATGTTATGCTAGATCTTTTTTTCCAGGTACTGAATTGTCACTTGAAGGAAGGACACTAATGTACTGACACCCGTGAACAGCATAAAATACAGGACAGGACTACATGGATGGAGTGATGTTTTAAGCTTTTCTTTCTATCCTTCACACTGCACAATACTTGTCTAGAACAGAGCTCTAAGTAAAAGACAAACTAATGTAATTTTAACCCAAATTTCAGCTAATTCAGAGCTCTCTTACAAATAAAAGCCTTCAGAATATACTATTTCCAAGCTTTCCACTTAATGAAAGCAGGTGTTACATTAATGCAGGGTGCTGGTGCATCATCCTTCTGAAGCCAGCCACATGTAATTCATGCAGAAACAACAAAGCAATGATAAATCCTGGTCAGGTCATGAAGTGACCAGTGAACAGGTTCAGATTTCTGGACTGAACTCTTGAAAAAGCTGGGATCAGTCAATAAAAACAGAGTGTCCAATCATAACAAACTATAAACAAACAAACAAACAAATAAAATAAACATATGCCTTTTCAAAAACCCAACAAAAATTTGATTGAACAAGTGTAGAAAACACTAAAGTTGTCATTACAGTTGCAATGACAGTTCCCTGGACAGTTCCATGACTGCTCTCAAGCACGTGGGTAAACTGGAAGTATCCATCTCCCATGTGAACCAAACGAAGGTGTGTAGATGATGAAACCACATCCAGGCAGATACAACAGTTGCTATTGCTTTTCATTACCATCTCAGTATGGAGTGTGCAGGAGTGACAGTGCTCTGGAGGCATGTGCATGACTGGTCCAAATCCTAGAAAGCCGACTGAGTCCCTACCTGTGACCCTCCCCTGTAGTTTAGTGTTGAATCTCTATTTTTCAAGATTTCACCTCTTCGCAGTCTTGATCAGTGGAGAGCTCCACATCAGACAGTCCAACCTCCATTGCCATGATCAATGAAATATCTGAATCACTGCTGACTGCTGGCTCCTGTTCATCTGTGAGGGTAGAAAAGACAGGAAAAGGTCATGTCTTTCTGTTAATATATTACTAATTTTTAGTTCTGCAGGTGGAACCCAGAGTTCCCTCCACTACTGAGATTGTGATTAGATTACAGACCTTGTTCTTATTCAATATCTGTCTAAAACACTTCCAAAATATCCCAAAATTCAAGCCATTCATAATAAAAAACATGATAAAAAGGAGCCTGGATGGGTAACATTTTCTTCTCTTAATCCTCCCATCCAGAGCTCTTCATCCAGGTCCTTCATGAACTTCCTCCCACCACCTGAGAATTGCCCTCCCTGTCTGCTTTCATTTCCTCAACCTGGCATCATCCTACTCTCCCCACAAATATAGCAGGTTAATGATAAAGCCACAGGCACCTGGCAGAGCAACTCAGTCATCAGGAAAACATTCATAACAGAAAAAAATTTTCCCAAACTCTCAGTAAGTGATAGAATTTCAGAGGACATTTTTAAGAGGGCACTAGTCTAATGTAGGAACATAGGCATTGGACCAGGACAAAACAAATCCAGGACTTTGGACTAGGCTACCTGCCTTCTCAAGTGGCTTCTCTTGTCCTTTTCTAGTCTTTTTAAATTCACTCTTTCCTCTGATTTGAAGATACCTTGCAGGTTCTTGATCCAGGCCGAAGGGATCTACCTTAATGCACCATGACCCCAAATTCACTGTGAGTTGTACTGTTGACTTCTGCCAAGCTGCAAATCACATTGTAGGAAGAGCAACTTGTTTTTGTTTTGATCCCACAGCACTTACCATGTGTATATTTAGCAGCAAATAAAACCAACAGATTTTAAAGGACTAAAAGCTAATTTCTTCCAAGAACAATCAGGGAAGCAGAGCACACTAGGGAGATTTTCCAAGGCACAAAACCTTCATAGGTGGCTGAGCCCCTGACAGAAAAATTTGATGGTTCATATTTTCAAGTGGTTTAATTACAAAGATGGTATTTATACAGTAACAATACAATGTATGTAAATTTGTGGCAGTTTTTAATTTATATATTTTATTTTTCAGACAATAGAAGCAGAGCCTGATTGATGCTAAAAAGTCTAGAAGTTGAATATCTAAGAATTAATAAGTAAGAAACATGACAGAGGAACCAGGAAAATAATAACTCCTCACAGTTTAATTATTCACTTGAAGCTGAGTGAACACAATTAGTCTCCTCTCAAGAGCATCATGATTTTTAAGTCTTTTATAGGAAAAACCTCTATATGTGTTTAATTGTGTTGGGATTAGACCTCATGTTCTGCAGAGAAAGCTTGAATGGGATCTGCTTTATTCAAACTGAAAGAGACAGTGTTTTCCTTTGCAATTCTTCCCAGTTTTCACCCTGGATTACTTTTATACTTTCTTGGTTGCAAGATAAATAATTAATGCACAAACATCTTTATATATCTATCTTTTTTTTTTCCATTTCAGCATGACATTAGTAAACATTTGAAGGCATTGCTTCTGACCAGAAATGTTTCCACCAGAGGTAGAGGAAGTATTTACAAGCTGAATGATACATCCTGCAGACTTCAGTGGTCTTCAATGACATTGAACCTTCAGCTGAGCTACTAGATCCTAGAGTACATCAGAGCACCTCACACACCTCCAGCACCTAAAATCTTTAGTGGTAACAGATCCCTGAGTCAGAATAATGTGGTTTTAGACCAGTGGATTATTTATCATTCCTCTATAATTAATAGGATTCTTAAAAACAATTAAAGTTATGCTTAAGAGCAAGTTTATATTTGCAATATAAAGGTTCCTGAGGTGTAGCCATGTTGAACAGCCACTTGGAGCACTTTTGAGAGCTAAGGTGTTTTCCATTTGAACTAGCTGTGCAGAAGCAAAGGACTGGCTGAATAGTGACAGCCAGATGCATGCTGAAGAGGCAGGCAGAGCTGCCAACACCAAATGTCAGAGCATCAAACAAGCAGCATTTAATAATGCAGAAATGTCATTTCAAGAATTGTTGTTTCTTCCAGGGTTGAACAGAAGAAAAAAATTTCAACTGCGTTCAAGACAGGCAGATAGAACAGGACCAGATTTTCAGCTCACCTACCTAATATCTGATGGAGGTACAGCAGCACACACTCTCCAAACCAGCAAACTCGAGTTTTATTTTACAAATCCTATAAAATTATTTAAATTTTTGGATCTTAGTCTTTGCAAAGTGTGGGCTTTGTCTTCTTTGGAACTGAAATGCATGTCAACAGGTATGGATGCTAGCTTTGGAACAGGCTGCAGAGAGCTGCAGAAACTGCAGGCCCATGGCCTCTCAGTCCTGCCTGAGAACTTCATAGGAGGATTTCAAAACAATCCTCAGAGACAGAAAACAACTGCCAGGTGCTGTTTGTCTGTCCTCTTGTTTTCCTTGCAGGAGAGAGTCAGGGGGGTAGTGTGCCCCCCTGACCAATGATGGTGATGTAGCACTTTACTAACCAATAAGAGTTTCTTTTCTGTATTTTCCACATATCTAAGACAAGCCTAGAGCAATACACTAGAGAGATTCTCCTGTTGTGACTCCCTTGAGAGTCCGTGTCGTTCTTTATTGACGTTCCCAATCAGAATGACAAGCAGGTACAAGGAACAATGCTAAAAATGCCCATGTCTATGCTCTGGCATTGCTTTTCCAGCACTGTGATAGTGCCTAGAAACAGAAGCACTCCACCTTCCTTGCTTGCCACCAGTGAAGCAGTTCAAAATCCTAAAGCTACAGCTTTGGCAGAGTGGGGAGAACATCACCATTCTTATACCTTCCCTTTCAGGGAAGCACTGACATTTATTTGGAAGCTGTAGGCAACATAAGGAAATTAATGTATCCCTCAGCATTACCTGCTGGCTCCTGTAAACAGAAGTCCTGCTACTGACCCCAACACACACAGGATGAAACTCTGGGAGGCTGCAGAAGACACAGATCAGCTGTAGGTAACTCTGTCTGCAAGGTCTACAAACTGCCTCACCATGGCTCCCCCACACAACACAGGCTTGCCAGACTGTGCTGGTTTGTTTTATTGCTCTTTTTTTGGCTTGTTGCTCAATAATAAAAGCCAGCACAATTACTGTTATTTGTAAAAGGTAAGCAAACCTCAACTACACTGCAAGTGCCAGGAGCTTAGCCTGCATTTTGCATCCGTGCCTTTCAGATCCTATTTACAATGACAAAGCTTATACAATCACACAGCTTTTACAGAAGATGCCTGACTCACTCTAAACCCTTTATTACCCTTTTGCAAGATTTTTGTAATTTGCTGTTTTTCTTAAAGCCCTGAAGTCAGATGAGGAGCTCAACTTTCAGTGAAGATCTCAGCTTTCACTTAAAAATAAATGAAGCTTAAGAGGCAAAAGGGAAACAAAGCTTTTTAAAAATTAAATCTCTATTTTCTAGACAGATTTTGTGTTGGAATATCTGACCTTTGAATTTAGATATTTGAAATTGGCAACCCTGTCTAACCACACATACTTTAATACTTCCACTGTCTTTTACAGTGCTTCTTATCGTGGGCAGAAAGCCTTTTGCTTAATGAAGCAAAAGGCACATCCTAAGCTGCTTTCCAGCCATTGTAGTACCTACAGCAGGGAACTGTAGACCTCCCTGCCACATTCCTCTCGCATCATAATACAACACAGCATGCTGCCTGTCCAGACAGACTTCTTCCACTCACTTGTATTTCCTGACACACATTCTTTTGAGAGGTGAAATTAACCAAACTCCTTTTCTAGCCAGTATTATTTTAACTCAATTACACTAGCATGGGAAGAATATCACCACATAGATTTCGAAGTGACCTACACAAAGGTGGTACAGCCCTTACTTCTGGAAAAGTGCATCAAGTGATGCTTATATTTGAATATTACTGCAATCAAACAAGGATGAAAATATCTAATTACCCTAGTGATTTCAAAACAGTAAGACTGCATGCTAGTAATAGTTATTTTACTGCTGCTATTCAAAACCATTGGTTTAAGTCTGTAGCTGTTGTACACTAATAAATATTCCAAAAGAAGGAGGTCAGACAATGGGTTTCTAAGAATTTGATACTGCTTGCAAGAGGCTTGGGAGGGAGCTAAGCATTGAACAGTGAGTGAAAAGTGCATTTATAAACCTATTTCTCTGCCAAGCATAAAGACATGGGCACCGGCTGAGATATACTTGCAATGACCCACTCAAAGGTGAGAAACAAGCTGATGAAACTTCGTGGACTTTGTACTCAGGCCTCACTCCTGCTCACCAGTGTGCTCTTCCCAAGGAGGCCATATCCCATAATATCATTTGATGTCCCTAGGACACGGGCAGTGCCATGGGGTTCTGCTAAAACTTCTCCAGCTTGCCTCAGAGGCTGAGATTTCCCCCAAGCTGACTGAGCTGTAAAAGCTGTAAAAGCCTGGGCTCAAATGTCAATAAGCAATTTGTATCCAGGAAATCAGCAGAAAAATGAGACCACACTAAAACGTTAACAACAAAAGTTTCTTGGCATTACATATATATGTAAGTTTTGTCTAAGATGGCATTTCTTTCCTTCTTTGGACCTTTCAGTAGCTCTCTGCTATTACACCCATTTAAGAATAAGCAGAGAAGTACTACTACTCATTTCACGTCCTCACTGTGGTGAAATATACCTTATTTCACAACTCCTCAGTTTGTGAAGACAGATTTAAACAAAAACATTAAATCCCTGGTATTAGTTATGCTCCCAGATCTAGATAAGTATCTAAAATGCATGCATTACCATGAACCTTATTCCAGTCTAGGGCTCACTTCTTCTAAGGAAACATTCAGTTATGTCCAGAAGGATTTTGCTTCATAAGAAATCAGAAATGTGACCGTCTCCTAGAGCTTTGAGGACCTGATCAGAAAATATATTCAGAGTCACTAGAGGCACTGATACGGATCTTTATCAAACACATTCTGCTCAGCTTGAAGCCACAGAAGAATGCCAATGCAAGCAATACTATTCAGATTTTGTTTCCAGTATAAGAA